AGGTGCCCCACAACAGCTGTCCTCTCCTCAGGCCACCTCAGCTCCCAGAAAAGCCGTCCCCATCTGACCACAGGAGCAAACAGGCCAGTGCCATTTCGAAGAATGAAACAAACTGTCACTTCCACACAAACCAAGTGACCTGCTTGAGCAGCAGGTGCTCCACACGGCTCAGCACCCACCCTGCCAACCACAGCCAACACAAGGATCCTCCCACCTAAACCTGCCCTCCTGCCCGGGAAGCTGCCCAGCTCACGTCACACTGTCCAGCTGCAGCCGAGACAAACCTGCTCTCTGTCCCCAGGTGTCCCTTGCGCCGTGGCCAAAGGCCCAGCTCCCAGACAGGGCAGGGAGCTTGGACCCAAGGGGGAGAGCGATTGGAGCGGCTGCACCCCCCCACATGCTGGCAAGGTCTGGCCATGGACACAGCACAAGTCACAACTGAAAGGGTCCAAATTCTGCGCTCAAGCCCCAAACCCAAGGTCCCCCAGGCCTGCCTGCCACAGCTGGAGCCAGAGGACTCCCACTGGCTCCACCAGTGAAGGGCTGCTGGTGTACAAGGTGGGCCCGGAGGACACAGGGCAGAGCAGGGGCAGCTACGGAGCAGGGCAGCGGAGCTGGGGGCGCAGCATCACCCACCCGCGCTGTTCTGCTCCCGGCTGCCCTGCGATGCTCTGAGCTGACGACTGGCTGAACCCTGTGCAAGGACACACCGGGCAATGAGGGGTCTCAGCCCACTGCCCCCCTGGCCCTGTGAGTGTGAGCGCCGCAGGCTGGGCGGGTGATGCCCTGGTCTGAGAAGTATCCAGCTACTGAGGGCTCACAGCGCTGCAGGGAGCACACCACCTCCTCGCACTGAAATACCACTAGTGGGCTACAAAACAGGAATAACAAAATAATCCCTTTTTATTTTGCAAAAAAGTGCTTAAGAAATTCTGTACAAGGACTGCTATGGCAGCTGGCTCTGCAGCGGGGGGGAGTCAAAGAGTTTGGAAGCAGCAGCAGCACCACGCTACATGGATTGCAGGGAAGAGGCCGAGGAGAAACTTCTCCAACTAAAAGTAGTGGCAGATGGTGAAATCCGATCACAGTGGACATGAGCTTCAAAACATTTCTTCCCATTAACAATGTGATTTCAACTGTTATCTGATGTCAGCTTCCCCTTCAGCTGCCTGCCGGACAAGCTGCTCTCCCCACGGACCTCACTGATGGACATCTGAAGCACGGAGGAAGCTCAAGGACCTTGTCTGGTGGAGGCAAAGCATAAACTCTTGCTTCTTGGCAGCTGAATAAAAGGAGAATAATTTCCACAAAATCAGTCGGAAGAACAGCCCTCTGACCGCTGGCTGAAACATTTCTAGAAGTGACAGTGGCACAAATCCATGTGGTAAAAGCATTCCTAAGAGAGTCTCCAAAGCTCTTGGCTGTCACGGTGCCCAGGAACAGCATAAGCCAGGTTAGGCACTTGGATGAATTCAAAGTGACTAATACAGAAACAGGTCTGAACAACCTGCACACGGCACACTCAGCAGAGACCACAGCACTCCAGTCAACGCACTTCTACGTGCCCTACCAGTTACTGCTGCGCAGATCCCTGGAAGGCAAGAGTTACTCTGCTGTCACAGAATAACAGGGGGTGGAAGGGACCTCTGGAGGGAGATCTCTGGCTAGATCAGGTCTCAGGCAGGTCTGGTTTGATCAAAGCTTTCATCTTCCCTAAACACCAGAGAGAAGCATCCACAGCACAGCCGCTTCTGCAGCCTCCTGAACATCAGTGCCAAAGGCCCAGGATGCCAGGAGCACCCGCACCCAGCCACGAGAGGAAGGACGACGCTAGAGCCAGCCACCATCAGGCTGCAGACACCCTGTCTGCCAGCACTGGATGACAGGCAGCAGTTGCTGACATTGGCACCAGGGGCTATAAAGCCCCTCTGTGAATAACAAGCCGCAATCCTTCCAGCCAAGTTCCCAAACCACCTGCGAGGGGGAAGAGGAGACATCAGGAGGGCAGAGAATCGAGCTCTGGTGCTGCCCAGTAGCTCAGGGGCCCTGCGGTCTGTCAGAGACGTCCAGAAGAGCTGACGGAGGCTGGACTGATGATGGGCAAGTCCCTGAGCACAGAGTTATGGGGTGTTCACTTCCCTGGCAGGCGCCTCAGTGACACAGAAGCATTTCTAATGCTTGTCTCTCCCTGTGGAACAGAAGACCTCTTGCTGGTGGCCCGGGAAGGACACTGGGCGAGCCATCGCCACCAAACATTCGCGGAACTCAGCTTGGTGCCGGGAAAGGCATGGCAGCACTAAGGCAGCATATTCTGCTGGATGTAAGCAATAGTACAAGCCAAGTCTTTGACTGGCAAAGACCCAAGCTGTGAAAGACAAGAAGTGACGGTGAAGAGTGGGGAGGCAGGCAGCAGCGCAGCTGAGGGGAAGAAACACAACCAAGAGGAGGGATGTGGCCTGGCAAGCTGGCCTCAGGTGCTCAGCTTCCTGCTCAGGCTGGATGAAAAGCAACCTCAACCCGAATTCAGCTCTGTTGATGCACAGCTGGTTTTCCCACCAGAGGCCAGGCGCTCAGCTGGGATGTCTGGGCTGCACGAGGAGGCTCCAGAGACAGCTCTCGGTGCCCTTATAAGGGGCTGGGAACAGGGGAAGCTGCTGAGCAGCCTGTCAGACAGCGATACTGCAGGCAGGAGTTCAGAGCCCTCCTCAGGAAACGGCCAAAAAGAGAAACTCCAGTGCAAGACTTCAAGACCTGGCATCTGAAAGCGTGGGAATGAGAAAGGTCTGAAGGAGCAGGAACAAAAGGGACAAAGCGATTTTTGGCCAATTAACAGTAATGGAGAGTCCCTGTTCATCCAGCATCATGTCAGGACAGGGAACTCTCTGCCAGGGCATTTTAAAACACAAGCAAAAGAAAATACTTCCTCCTCCTCTGCAGCCGACCAGCGGCATTCACAGGTCAGTCTCCGACACTGCAAGTGATGATCTCTGACCACAACTCAGATACGCACAGTAAAACCACACAGAACCCGAGTGTGAGATTCAGAGCCTGCAATCATCCTCCGAGGGAGAACCTCCACCCTGCTCTACCTTCGCGAGGGGGGAGAACCCCGGCTGTCCCTCAAGACACCCAGCTTCCCTGCCCTCTCACTCCCTCACGAACCTCCTCTCTGTGCCGCGGTTTCCCTCTCCGAGCTGGGGATCAGACACTGACCCCTTTTACAAAGCGCTGAAACCCAGCCAGGTGCTAGGGAGGGGCTGAAACGTAAGGAGCTGGGGCTTCCCAGGGGAGCTCATCCCTTCAGCCAATGTCCACAGAGATTACTAGGTCAGACAACTGGTATTTTGAGCTGGTGAGAGAATGAGTGGATTACTGGCCCACTGCTGCAGAGCTCTGAACGTACAGCAGCGTACAGAGCTGAGCCCGTGCCTGGCCCGACGCCGCTTCCTCTCCCCGAGCCCCCAGGTTTTGCGCCTGCAGTATCCCAACGCAGATCGTCTCCTCAGACACGGTCCCTCCTGGGTGTCAGCGGCAGCACCTACAGCTCCAACGCAGCGTTTCTCCTGGAGCCCGCAGACCCCTCCCTGCGGAGAGCCGACCCGACCTCCGCCAGCACACAGCCCGTGCTCGCACCCGACAGCCTGCCCCGGGGCAGGCAGGCTAACGCGGCCGCCTGCGCTTCCGCAGTGCCTCCTGGGGACGGGCAAAGCCTGTGCTCCGGGAGCTTTCACACCTGCCACACACCTTCTCGCAACATCCCAGACGGCACAGCAGAGCTCTCACCCATCACAACACGGTGCCGATCTCCCCTCCTACTGCTTCACCCCCACAAACCGACAGAAAGAAACTCTCTAAGTGCTGGCACATATGCTCTCAACTCTTTCGCTTTTCTGCTTTAATTCAGGCTCAAATACTAAGCTCTGGGACCGGCAGGACGTATCTAACACATTCAAACACTGCCTGTGTCTTCTCTACTGGCACCTAGAACCTGCTCCTGAAACACCCAGCAACAGCAAAGCAGGGACACGGCGGGCAGGACACTTCATACAATTCTTATTAACAACCTCAGCCCTTTGGCTCTAACAGTCACAGTCCACGTTCTACATCTGCACCTAGGGTACAGGAGGGCAAAGCAACACTGGGTGCTGAGGAGGAATCGCTCTTTGGAGGCAAACCCCACCACGAGTTCAGAGCTTCTGCTACCAACGAACGGAGGAGGCACCCAGAGATGTCAGGCAGCCTTGCAGGCAACAGCCCCATAACATCCCCCTCTTCCGCAGAGGTAATAGCAAAAGTATGATTAAAACTATGGTCAGCTATCGGCTGGCAATTCTCCAAACTGCTTGGCATTTCTGGAGACAAGCAAGTGGCTATAACTCTGCCTGCCTCTGAGCTGCTCAAGGGAGCCCAGAACAGACTGTTACAACACTGAATCACAAAGAAATCCTGGCACCTTTCAACAAAAGACTGGCTGAAGGGGAGAAGGAACAAAAGCTATCAAACCCAATCCCAGAGGGATGGAGGAAGCGCATCGGCCCACAGTTCATGGGCCATATGCACATATATGGATATATAGATATATAGATAATAAAGTTATAAAATTTGATCAAAATAAACCCAGTAAAATGTACAGTTTGAAAAAGAGCGATATCACAGTGCATCAATGGCATGAGAAAGTCCCGTGTTCCCTCCCTGCACGAGGGTGCAGCCTGCCACGTTCAGAAGAGCGCCCGCGGGAAGCGAGCCCTCCGGCCCGCTCAGCTCGCCGCGGGCCAGCGTCACCACCCCGCGCTCCCCAACAGGTTTTTGTATTTCTGCAGCCAGTTCTGCAGAGCAGTGGTAGACAGGCAGAACCAGCACGAGAGCAGGCTGCTGCGTCGGCAGGTTAGTCGACATATTGTCACCAGGCACTAGAGCTCCAGAGTCGCTTTTGGAACTTCTCCACACTCTGGTGCCAGGCTTGTACTTACTCACAAAAAAAAGGGACAAAGTGAAGAAATTCAGGGGACGCTGTGAGAGTGGGACAAGGGCTGAATTCGGATCACAGGGGACAGGTTGACCCTAAGAATCTTCTGTGCTCTCCTCCTCACTTCATCATCAGAGGAAGAGTTGCCCACCTTGATGGCCCGGAATTTCAGCAGGTTCAAAGTGCTCTGAGCCCGTCGAGATTTATTTTGGATGGGAATGGTATTTGCTTTCTTCCTCTGTGGTGCTTCTCTTGCCTCTGTAGCTCTTCTCTTCTTCTGCCCCACGCTCTCCCGGTAAGCGCTGCTGTTCGTCCACTCCGTTTTCCCCACCAGAGCTTCCTTATCTTTGATTTTCAAGGTCTTGGACTGCGGCGCCGTGGTGCAGCCCTGGGAAGAGCTCCCTGTGACTCTCCCATTGAGGACTCCCGAGGCTTTGCAAGCATTGCTCTCCTGCAGCACTCCACCCTTTGGTCCCTTCAGAAGATTTAAAGCGAGGGTGGGAGAATTCGGTGCTTTCTGTATCAAACGCTTGTACCTCTTACCTTCTGTGGCTTTAGCGGCCTTGCCTGAAGAAAACTGCCTCAGCGGACTCGAAGCCTTGAGGAGTTTAAGGTCTGAGGGCGAGATCCCAAGACGCCCTCGTGCGTACTTGGACTCCAAACAGGAGGCGCTAGTTTTCAGCGGCACCAGAGCTTCCAGCACCACCGACAGTCTCATGGCTGGATACACGTCGGGGTACACGCTCGTAGGGAAGCCCACTGCCGCGGCCTTGGACGTGCCGGATCTCGTCTGCTTCAAGGAGCTCAAGAGGAGATTTGTGGAATCCCCTTTGGAGACGGGCTGAGCGGAGACTTTCGAAGAGTTCACCCGCACGCCGGTGGGCGGAGCAGACACCTTCGGCACAGCCGCGGTGTTCCTGGCCGGACCCTTAGTGGACTCGGCAGCGGTGGCGCAGCTGTGGGGGGTGCTCTCTTTCGTCTGACTAGGGGTGTCTGCCGTGCACGAGCTGTACCCGTACACATCCTTACTCCTCAGGATTGTGGGCTGGTAGCCCTCCTCCTTCAGGCCCTGAATGAAGGCCACCAACTGGGTCTCTGTGTCCGAAAGGTCCTTGGACATCGGGTTGAAGACTCGGAGGGCTTCCTCCAGCACTTTCTGTCCTGCAGAGGAAATTCTCGACCAGGAATGGACAGCTTTTTCTTCCACATTGTTCACTGCAATATTCATGGCATTAGGCAAGCGGGTGCTTCAAAAAGGTCCAAATTACTGGAAAAGCAACCCTTGACACCTCAAAAGGAAAGAGAAGATAGTTAGCTTACAGCACTGAAATCACCTCGTGCTTTTAAGCAGGAACCTGAAACCATTAAGCCCAGGCACGGCTACTCACAAACATCTGGTCAGATTCTGGGCATAATCCAAGTTAGAAGCATCATCAAGAAAATCCCATCACTGATTTATCTCTGAAGTAAAACTAAAACATCTCTCACAGAAATATCCTCAAACCTAAACAAAGATTTCAGGCAATCCCATCCAACCCATCCCAAGATGAAGGGTTCCAATGGTTAACTCAGTAAAATCTGCAGTTTGTTTCCAGTTTGAGATGGACATGCCTCAGCTTTGGGTAACCAGACCTCATTTTCCCTCGGTAAAGCAGCCCTTCATTGAACGCTCTCCCTGCGCAAGCACTGAGAACACCACAGTTGAGCCATCTCAACACTGAGCAGCCTGAGCACCTCAAATCCACCCCAGTGTCACGTTCAATTTTCCAGCTTCCTAGCTGATTCTGCTCAAAAATTGATGCGGAGTCCCTGCCAAAGACGCAGCATCCTCCTGAAGACCTGACAGCAGAGCTGGAAGCTCTTTCAGTTGTGCTTCGTTGATGTTGAACGCTGTGGCAAGGCAACACCGCTCCTTGCTGTTCCCTTGTTTGAACAACGGTCTGCAACTTGCTGTCACAGCAAACTGGTGTTGATCCAAGGGCACTCGCTGCCAAGCGAGGAGGAAGCAGGAAATTCAAGCAGGGCGGCACGAAGGAAACACACATCACCGGGGCCAAGTGTACAATGGCCTGAGGGACAACACCGGGATCATGCTCACGGCACTACACAGCTGTCTGCCCAGGACAGAAGCGCTAATTATTGCTTTAAATAAAAACCAGGGACTGAAAAGCAGTCCAGGCAGGACTTTGTGATGCACCTGGGAGAACTCCAATCCTCTCACACCGAGCTGACGGCCTCGCCAGCTCCACAGCTGGACGCTGCGCCAAGAAGTTTTATAAAATCTTCCGCTTCGTTGATACCTCTCAAAATAATAGACACCCTCGGAGAGGGCAGTGCGCAGGCAAGAAAGCTGTGATGGAAAAGTTAGCGCCTGAGCAGACAGAGCAAGGAACTACTCGTGTCCGACGTTCCTCCCAGAACTCAGGTTTCACCACAACCCCAGGAGCGCCAGCCCCAGACCGGTGCCCGTGCCGCCGCGGGCTGCACAAGCAGGGAAGAGACACGAGCCAAAAGCAGCCGCAGAAGGGGAAGCACAGGTCAGTGGGGGGGCGGGGGTAAGAGCCTCCACATGACAGACTAATCTCAGTCAAGTGTTCTGCAGACGTCACAGCAGAAGAGGGATTTGGAGGAGGATAATGCAGTTGTTCTGCCACAGGCAGGGGATCTCCCACGGAGGAGGGGAAGAAGGCAGGACAGTGCTCTGACCAGCGTCATGGGCCAGCGGCGAGATTTGCCACTTCTCCAAAGCGAACGAGCGGCAGCAGGCAAGCCGAAGCCAGCAAGGATGTAAAGCTTAATCCTGATCTGGTAAAGAGAGAGAAACCAACAGAGAAGCACAAGTAACAACATGCGCTCAACAGGCTGCAAAACGGATCATCTTCGGGCTCCAGCAAGCCCGTGAAGCGCTGGGACACACCAGGGACATTCTGATGTTGAGCGGAGAGGCTGTGACATCTCCACATCGATCCTCCCGGTCTGGTTTTGTGTAGTGCAAGCTGCCGGAGGAGCGAAAGCCGGCCACGAGCAGGCACGCTCCCAGTCTGCCCACCCAACAGCAAGTTCCCTCACTTGACACCCTACCGGGGGGACGTACCTTGGCTAAAGTGCCACAGGGCCACAGCGCTCTCGGCACGGGTGCAGAGCGCCGGCAGGACCCGAGCGATGCCAGCATGGGTATAGAGCCCCGGCTGCCCGGG